AAAATGCGTTTCAATAACAGTATAAAACAATAAAATTATATGGGGGAGGTTTTTCTTAAAAATTTTTTGTAATACTCATGCAGCATTAAATGCCGAAGTTACAAAGTGACGTTGTAACAAATTACACAAAGAAAAAAAAGTTATGAAAATGTAATGACAATAATTGTCAGCACCCCATGGTGTATTGCTACACTTTTGTAAATTTTAATGTTCATTATATTTCGATGCCGTTGTTTATATTTCAATGGTCACAAAAGGGGAAAGAAATTGAATATGACAATATAACTTTGTAAACATGAAAAATCATAAATAATATTTTTATTTATTTTTTCATTCTGTTTTTAGTGAGCAGTAAATCAGTTACACACAAATTTTTCATATGAAAAAAAGGAAAGGCAAATTTTATGTAATCACAATGCAGGAACCGTATTTACATTCTATTTTTTCTTTTAGTAATAATTGTACAGTTTGCGAAATAAAGTAAGTAATTGTACAGTTTGATATATAAAATGTAGAGGAATTTAATAAGCCAGAAACTAAAGAACTAAATAAGTCAGATTTTTTGAACAATTTTTACTGTAACAATGCCAGACACTCCTGGAAAAGTTGTTTTTTTTTATATTGTTTGCTCTTTTCAATTTATAATTCGGCCTACGATAAGTAATTCAATATAAAGCATTATATAATGAAGAGAGTTCAAGATAGATATATCATAGCACAAAATTAAGCAAAATATGATATTTGATAATTTCTTTCTCAACTTATTCAGTTCAAAAAATAATATATGTAATAAATTATTGGTTCAAAATTGACTAAAGAAAGTCATACGGTTATTGTAAACAAATAATGGAGGATGAAAAGAAATAATTTTTTTGTTTTTAGTTTACTTATTAAAGTTTCCTTTGATTCACATTACCTTAACGCAAACCAGTTTAAGATAAATTCATATAAACGATCTTTCTACATGTTTCACATGAGTTTATTGTTTTAAAGGAGAATTTTATCGTGGGGAGGCTTCATATCTCACCAACTCGTAAAATTTCAAGATATTTTCATAAGTTAGCAACATTATTAGTCGAGTTAGCAAAACTCTACTAATAAGAAATATTGCAGTTAGCTTACGCAAGTGCTTTTTTCTTACTATTCATCTAGAAATTAAAAATAAATTTATAATAATAATGGAATGTAGATCTTAGATTATGAAACGGAATTTTTCCTAACACTCAGTTTGCTGTTTCAATATCTTTATTATTTGCCTTTACAAGTTGTTTTCACAGCAGAACAGCATTTTATAAAGTCCACTAAGAAAAGTCAAGCTAAACTAGCTCTCTAAATAATAATGAAAATAGCATTTTTCAAATATAATAAATGATTGTAAATTGATTTCAACTTTAAGTAAGTGAAATAAAAAAATCTGATATAGTCAGCACATAACCGACCGCAATGTCTAGATTGTCTAGATTAGTAAAAGTATTCCAGAAGATTATAAAAATGCATCTTTACAATTTTAAGGACACAAAAAAGCTTTTAGTTAACATACTTAGAAAAATGTAAATTTGGCTCTTAGCAGAGTTTCATTTTGTGCCGTCCGAATTTTACCAAAATTGGTCAGTAACTTCTGGTAACAACCAGAGCTCAAATACTAAATTTCAAGAAATTCCAGCAATTCGTTCCGTAGGTAAGGCAAAAAATGTAAAATGGACTCCCAAATCTTTTTCCGAGCCCTGATCTTTCCAACAAATTTATAGATTCATTGTTTTAACATCTCGAATTTAAATATTAGATTTTAATTAAATCGTTATACACGCAAAAATGTAAATTTGGCCAGTAGCAAACGTCCAGTTGCTGATGCCTGATTTCTTCCAAAAGTTAGGAGGTTTCGCGTACGGTCGAATGAAGCTCATATATGAAATTTCAAGTAAATCTGTTCAATATTTTCCTCAAAATGATCAAAAATGTAAAACAGGCTCGCTAAAAAGTCCAGTTGCGATCTCAAAATTTTATCAATCCGTGCTATAGTTGACATAAATGTACATATAAAATTTCATCAAAATCGGTTTAACCGAAGTTGAGATATACGCGTGCACACACAGCCAGACAGACACAGAGACAGACCAACACCTCTCTAAAAATTGTTGATTTACTCTTCACTACCATGGAAAAGTGCGTTCCCACGGAAAACTGGATATGCAAAATTTAGTGCCGTTACATAACCTGCCTTATTGTATACATATGTGGTCGGAAAAAGGATGGCAGACAATTATTGTTACAAATATTCCTTGTTTTAAATTTTTATAAAGCGTCCTGCATGATTTTTTATTTCTTATTCAGTGTTATGCGACTGCCAAGCCGCTATCGTACATAACTGTGCACATAATAATCGCAACATTTAGGGTAAAAGTGTTTTAAACTGTATTACCCTGAATGGTTTTTATTATTCAACAAAAACTGAACATTGTTTGAAAATAAAACCATTAATTAAAAGTATGATTTTATACTAATGCACGTGCACTATACGTGCAGCGAATTTTTTATGTCGAAAGGAATTTTATTTTTCGATTTTTTTAATCAGATTTTTTTTCATAAATTTGTTTCCCTACGTGCGTACCTATTTTCTTTATTTTGCAACATGTGATTATGTTCATTTATTTAAGGGAAAAGAGTTACTTAACAAATCATTGGTTTGTTCCAACTTCCTTTTTGCCGACTGCAATGTGTATACAATAAGGCAGGGAAGCGTAAATCAACTATTTTTGATCAATTATTCGACAGATGTCGATCTGTGAGTACATGCGTGTGTCTCATTATCGGCTGAACTAGTTTTAATAAAAATATTATATGTGAGCCTATTTTGGTTATGTCACTGATTGATCAACTTTTAAGAAAAATCAGGGCTCAGGAACAGCACCTTTTTGGAAGGCGATTCCACATTTATTTGCATATAAAGAACAGTAATCAAGCAATTTTTTGTTAGTTTTTGGAGTATTTAAACGACGGACTTACAAATTTTTCGGAAATATCCAGGGGTCGGAAACTAAGCTGAACGCCTGCCTTACCTTTTGTACTCTATCTGCGAAACTATTTGATAGAAATTTAATATTTAAGTTCTCCGTGTTATCGAAACTAGCTGGCCAACTTGGATTTCTAAAATAATTTTTTTTGGAGATATTTACGAATATTGTTAAATTTGTCAGATAAATGTATCGTTCTATTCTAGTTTTAATATTTTTTTTACAATTAACTTATTTATTTTTACATTTTGTAGGGTAAGATTTAATACTTGACAATTACCTTATACAATGTCGAATTTATTCAGTTTTAGTAAATTTTATTAAATTGATTTTTCTTATTGTATGGCATATTTTGTAAATTTTCAACTTTTCAACGGAAGTACTTTTTTGAAGAAACTTCAATAAACTTTTTTCAATGAAATGTCAGTATGTTTGTTTGTGCACCCCGGAAATAATTTTCAAATGAACCAACAGTCATTAAAATTGTATTTTAAATTTTAGGTATGTAAATGTGTTAAACCGAGGAACTTTCAGCATAGGTCAGTTTCTATAGGAATTAAAACTATTTTGACTCATTGTTGATGACTATTACTGATAATATGAATTTCCATAAAATGATGGTGAAAATCTTTAAATCGGTTTTGCTTAGAAATTGAAGATTATGTAAATTAACTTAAAATAGACCACTTCACAAGAGTTTCCTATGTTTCCGTTTATTTACCTTGCCAGGCAGGTACAACTAAGATGTAAATTTTGGTCTTTGGTTCAAGCTGTTACTTTTGTAGGCGTGATTTGATATCTTAAAGATTAAATAGTATACTTTTGAAGAACAAGATAATTTACAATAACATTGTTAAAAGTTCACTGAAACTCCGAAGATCGCCGAAAAATGACATTTTACGAATCCAGTGGAGTAATAACTGAGTGGAAAGAGAAGATAAAAAGAATTTTTCTTTAGTAGAAAAAATAATATGTAAAACCGATAAAAAATTTACGTTTATTTCAGTGGTAATGTAGGTGAAAAATTATACTACGATTATTTGCGAAAACGGTTTGAGATTGTGATTAGTGGAAAGAGTTAATTAAACGAAATAAATTTATTTATAATTTTCCATGATAGAAGAAATAGTACCTGGTAATCTTAATACGTTTACAAACTCTGCTTTTGCTTTTGGGTTAGACATAGTATTTTGCTCGTAACCATTCAATAACGGCTTTGATGATCTACAATGCCTAATATATAAAGAGCTATAATTTTTAAAAATACGTAAAAATTTAGTTATGACATAAAGTTTACAGTAAAATATATTTTACCTGCGAAATTATACAAATTTATTTTGAAATTCTTTTTTGTGAGTAAAACTGCTATCTTAGGAGTAGAAATTCTATAAACAGAAGAATATACATTTTTAAACTCTTAAACATATTTTTGTTGCTAGAAGTGAAGAAAATGAAATGCCTAAAGTCTTCCAATTGGCTACCTACGTAATAACTATTGGTTTCCAATATGTAAATATGATTTGAGAAATATACAATTTGGTCAATCATGGGCTGGCAAATATTGATATTTTAGTGTTGGAAATAAATTTTACAAAAGCTAGGTGTTTTTTGACAGATTTAATTTTAACAATGTTCTCAACAATAAAGCCGAAAACTAAATATTTTTGAAAAGAATTTGCAGGATTCTGTTTAGAAGTAATTTAAAAACGTCAATAAGAACGATATTCCATTTTTTTCAACAAAAGTAAGTATTACATATGAATTATATGATGCAAACAAATTTGTTATAACAAACTTTCAGAATACTTTGTACGAAAATAGTATATTGGTATCCATATACATATACCAATGTACAAATAGAGCGTAAGATTATTATATGCCCTATCAGTAAACACCAGTCGTCCGTTAAATTAAATTTTATGAAAAAAAGTAAAATAAGAAAAATGTATTTATATTTTCTTCATAATTTGGTTTATAAATGGTACTTACCCACCAAAAACGCCTGCTGCGCGCTCCTTTATCGTTTCTAATCCCTTCATTTTCAAAATATTATGATCTTAATACTCTTGAAGTGAAAATCCTTTATTATATTTTATACCTTACTACAGTGCAAACACAAAACAAAAAAATAACAACACAGGTCGATTAAAAAAGATGAAAATGCGCTCGATATATTATGAAAGAATTTTACTTTATATAAATACTTTTATATTAAATACGAATGTATTTTTATATAAATCTATATTACTATAGGTGGAGTTCACTCTTAAATATGTCTGAAGTATAAGTTTATGAAAAATAAGATTTAATAGGTATGAAAACGCGTATATATATCTATTTACATTTATATCGACTTTGTTGGTTATGCTGAAATTTTTCACTTTTCCTTTTTTGGCAGTGGGAGGTTTTACTTTTGCAAACAATCACAATAAAAATTGTTGGGTGCGCTTGAAAAATTTATTTTATTTCTGTTGTTATTTTTTTTGTTTTAAAATCCGATTAAATGTTATTTTATATCTCTATTTAGATCTTTTCTTTCGATTTTATATCCTTTAGAGGATAAAAATATGAATATTCTGAATTTTATGTGGCTTTTTTGTTAATTTTTCCCGTTTTTGTTTGGTATTTTTGTTTTGTTGATGATTTTTAGAAAATATTTGGCAAATTGAAGATTTAATATTATAATATATTGCTGCAAAAAAGTTATGCTGAAATGAAAAAAAATATAAGTAATGTAACAATTAATAATTAATGTCGGTTTATCTGAATAAAATTAAATTTTTTTATTAAATTGTATATTTTTAGTTTACAATATTTAAAAGTGAAATTTTCAAATAGATGAATTTTAATTAGTAGAATTTTTTATAAGTATACAGCTTACATAAAAAATGTGAACAATAAAATTGTCTATTAAGTTTAGGACAATAACTATTAATTTGAATAAGTATTCGTTTGTGAACAACTTTTATAGTTAACACAGAAATAATATTTTTATTTATTTGTTGTTTTAATCAGATTTATAGCAACGCTTTTTAGGGCGGAAGTCTTATTTATATACTATATTTTTACCGACCGTATTGTGTAAACAATAGGTAGGTTATGTGATGGCAACAAATTTTGCATATCGAGTTTTCGATGGGAACGTACTTCTCCATAGTAGGGAAGTGTAAATAAACTATTTTTAGCAACCTGTCGGTCTGTCGGTCTGTCGGTCTGTCGGTCTGTCGGTCTGTCGGTCTGTGTGTGCACGCGTGTATCTCAAGTTCGGCTGAGCCGATTTTGATGAAATTTTATATGTAAGTTTGTTTCCACCATGGCACGGATCGATCAACTTTTGGTATATATCAGGCCTCGGGAACTGCACTTTTTAGCGGGCCTGTTTTACATTTTTGAACATTTTGAAGAAAGTATTCAACCGATTTACTTGAAATTTTATATATAAGCTCAGCTCGACCGTCCGCAAAAATTCGTATGTTTTGGAAGAAATCAGGCATCGGCAACTAGACGTTTACTACGGGCCAAATATACATTTTTGTGTATATAAAGAGAAATAATCAACCGATTTCATTGAAATTTAATATATGAACTCCTCGTGTTAAAACAATGAACATATAAATTTTTTGGAAAGACCAGGGCTCGAAAACGGATTTGCGGGCCGATTTTACATTTTTCACCATATCCACAGAACAAATTGATGGAATTTCTTGAAATTTGATATTTGAGTTCTGGTTGTTACCGAAACTAACTGGCGAGCATTTCAGGGAATTCGGGTAGCACAAAGCGAAACTCTACTACTAGCCAAATTTACATTTTTCTAAGTATGTTAACTATAAGCTTACTAATGTCCTAAAAATTGGAAAGAAGTATTTAACAGACATTTTTATAATATTCTGTAACACTTTCATTTAACTAGACAATACACAATGCGGTTGGTTATGTGCTGACCACATCAGATTTTTTTTATAATGAGTTATATTTATTGTATAGCGAATACAAAAAAGAGCAAAAATTTCCTAGATTGTAGATTTTTAAAACCGGAGTAACAGTGCACCTCGAGCACGGACAAGGATTTGTTGTGTCCCCCCTCCGTGTTGGGAATAGACCGCTTGAGATCCACCCTCTGATGGTACTCGAGCAACTTGTGAGGTGCGGAGGATCGCCGTTCCGCCGCCGTGAGAACAAAGTCCCCTAATATTTCCCTTCTCCTGCGATTGAGAACCCACTTTCGCAGAAGATCTACTAAGGGCTCCTCATCTTCCCTACAGGACCTGCAAGTTTCTTCATTTTTCAAACCCATTCTACTGAGGTACCCCTTAAGTCTGCTGAAACGAGACCCCGGTGGGAATTTTGCGTTGAAATAAAAATCATGTCTCGGAAGATACAACGTACACATTTGGTAATAAGAGTTTGGTAACAAGTTTTTGGATAAAATTTGATTGTGGTTTGCAATAGATCGCATATAGCTCCCGAAGAAATTTTCTCAAATACTAAATGCCGACCGTGTTGCTAAATAGTTTAGCAGCAAGGTCAAGATTCTATCAATATGTTAAAATGTTTCTGTAGAAAAAGTTTACAAAAGAAAGAAATTGTTTTAAATGCTTTAAATTAAACTTATATTTCTGATTTGCTGGTTGGTTTACTGGTTGGAGTAGTTTAGTAAAAGCCTAAAATCTAATATTAAATAGTTCCAAAAATTAGATAGCTGGGTTACATTTCGCAGTCTTGTATCATAATTAAGGTACATATAGCATTGAATTTTCTCTCGAATGTTTTGACAGGTTCGAGTAAATGCCTTACATTCTTAAAAACTAATGAAATTTTATGCTGTTATATTTTCTTCAGCATTTGAATTGCTATAATACACTTCTTGCAACAAAGGAGTAAGATTTTTTTTATTGGCGAGTAATTGATGAAAATCATGTTAATAAAATTTAAAAAGTGTTTTATTAAAAAAAAAAAATCTGATGTGGTCAGCTCATAATCGACCGTAATGTGTATTGTCTAGTTAAGTGAAAGTGTTACGGAATATTATAAAAATGATTGCTAAATACTTCTTTCCAATTTTTAGGGCATTGGTAAGCTTATAGTTAACAAACCTAGCAAAATGTAAATCTGGCTCTTAGTGGAGTTTCGCTTTGTGCTACCTAAATTTGTGAAATGCTCGCCAGTTAGTTTTTTTTACAACCAGAACTCAAATATCAAATTTCAAGAAATTCCATCAATCAGTTTCGTAAATATGGTAAAAAATATTTCAGGCTTGCAGATGAGTTTTGGAGCCCTCATCTTTTGAATATTTTGAAATAGGTTTTGGAGTTCCATGGCAGCTACTCAAACCTGCTAGACCATTCCATCAAAACTTCAGGGATATGTGTGGACTGATATTGGACACACGACTACTAAGTTTCATGAATTTAACTCTATTATTTTCCCAAACCATTAAAATTTGCTTTTGCAGTTGTATGGTAGCTTCCCGAATCTGTCAAGTCATTCCAAAAAAACTTCAGGAATATATGTGAACCATGACTACCAAATTTCATGAATCTGACTTTATTATTTTTCCAAATATTTAAAATTAGTTTTTGGAGTTGTATGGCAGCTACCCGAACCAGTACAGCCATTCCATTAAAATTTTCAGAACATATGTTAACTGTACTTGGATATATAATGTCTTCATTTTATTCTCTTAAAGTTATTCAGTATGAAAATGAATCTTACTATTATGAATTTGTAGAACTTAAGATTTTGAATTGTAAGTTTAATTGGAATTTTGGAAGAGAATAAAGTTTATGTGAAAGAAAACAAATTTGTGCACCCAGAGATCAACGTTTACACGCAGTAGCATGTTTAATAATCCAAAAGAAATTCACTGATCTGAGAAAAATTTCATGCTAAAAGAACATATTCGTTTCGAAATCGGTTTTCGAATAATTTATTGATAGGTGTTTTTAAAAATGTCATTTTTATATTTTAATAATCAATTAAAGATTTAATGTATTTAGAGTTTCTTAACTATTCGCTACCTGATTTATTTGAAGTAACTACTCTATTACCGATTTACTTAATTTGGTACCAGCTCGATGGCGTTACTGCTCATTGCTAAAAGGTATTTTTCCTAATGAAACTTAATGAACTATACAACAAGCAAGTTCAGAAATCAATGGTGAGCATTATGAACAATTTTTGAATTTTTAATGATGAGCATTATACGAGTATACAATTTTTGTGTTAAATAAAAAAAAATAATATGTTAATATTTTAAATCACTTTTTGTTTAAAAAAAATATTGAATTCATATTCTTAATAATATAGTATATGACAACCTATACTATATTATTTTCATTGTATGCCATTCATTAGTGGGCGTCAGCATGGCTTTTTGAAAAAGAAAACCACGGTGACTAATCTAGGGGAAGCCGCAACAGTTTTCTCAAATAATATGGAAAATGGGTATCAGACGGATGTAATTTACACAGCAATTTCTATTTCGTTCAGCAATTTCTTCACCTCTTTCGTTTAATTGTGGTGTACCCCAGGGTATTCACTTAGGTCCACTGCTGTTCATAATTTCAATTAATGATGTTGCATATGATATACTTTGAATGGCCAAGCTCTTAGTCGAGTTGATTCAATAATGGACCTGGGTATTTGCTTCAATAGCAAGTTATGATTCATAAACCACTACAATCATATTATATGCAGATCAAGCTCGTTGTTAGGCTTCATTAAGCGTTGGTCAAAGGAGTTTAATGATCCTTATGTCTTAAAAACGCTCTACACATGCCTGGTCCGTCCTCATCTTGAATATGCTTCATAAGTATGGTCACCCTATTACGATATACATATTAATTGGATTGAGTCTATTCAAAATTTTTTTGAAGTTCGCATTGCGCCTTCTTCTTTGGGAAGACCCCATCATTCTTCCACCTTATGAACACAGGCTCAATTTAATTGACTTACCCACACTGGGCAAAAGACGTGACGTTGCGGATTTGACTGACTTAATCTCTCCCGATATTTTAAATAAAATTGCGATTAACTCTAACTTTAGGTCTCGTTCCCCTGATCTTTTCATGGTTCCTTTTCATAGGACTAATTACTTAAAACATGAACCTGTCAGCAGAATGTTGCGTTTATGCTGCAAACACAAACACAGACTTGATTTTTCACTAAAGAAAGACATGATGAAAAGGTTTCTATTTACTTATAGTTAAGTATAACCCTTTTCTTTATTTTAACAAATTCTTGTTTTAGTTTTCATTGTTTATATTCATATTTTATGGAATATTATTACTAATAAGTTTTATTTTGTATAATTTTTAAATTTAATTTTTAAGTCAAAAATTTGTTCAGTCGGTATAATTCGATTGAATTATACCCTACACCTTTCGTTGTTGTGTAGTAAATACTCAAACCTATAAAACCATTCTATAGAAACCTCACGGATATGTCTGACCCATAACTGGACACACAACTGCCAAGTTTCATGAATCTGACTTTATTATTTTGCCGAATATAAAAAATGTGGCTTTAGAGTCCCATTAAAATTTTCAGAGCATATGTAGAATATAATTGGACACATGTATACAAAATTTTATATTTATATCTTTATTAGTTTTTGAAATATTTAAAATAAACTCTTTGAATTGTATGGCAGCAACCCCAACCCGTTGTCCGAATTAATCCAATTACAATAGGGTACGTCCTTGAT